CTGTCTTTTCCCTTTCTCCATCATCTTGTCCACCTCATTCCAGATGTTTTCAAGGGTCTCTTTGGGAATTCCAGGCTCTCCTGGAAGTAGAAGAACATAACGCGTGATGTCCAACTGTGCATCGCCACCAGATTCCGATCCTCCGTTATTATTAGAAGCACCAATAACAATTATATTCAGCTTCTTGATGTGGTGGAAGAACAAGGCAGAAATGAGAAGAACAATTTTGCTTGCCCAAACCAATAGAATCTGCACTCCAATGCAGCAATTCAGAACTAGTCTTCTTACAGCATGAAGAAATTTTTTCCACTTTTCGTGTTGAATTTGTAAAGGTAATGAGCTTTCTCTCCAGTCCACAAGTCTCTGAATCCAGTAAGTCTCGATTTTCAACTCGTTTTTGAAGCTTTTCCTGTTTAAATCAGAACACTTATACCGGGCAGCGGTAAACCATCTGAATGCAGGGGCAGTTGTACCCAATGCTACTCCAATTGACTGAACGTATAGAATCCATTTGATAGACCACTTATAGGTAGAAGTGAACTCATCTTCTTGGCATACTATTGGCATCCGAATATGAACTTCTGCTAAAGTGATAGCAACAAATAGGCACATCAAACCTGAAGCAGTGCAAGTCACACTACGTGCCATTACAAACTGGGGGCATCCTGTTGCTGCCATCACCCAATATTTTTTGACCACTAGTCTCAATTTGTCAACTGGAATTTTTGGTCCATCCACGTTTTCTTCATCTAAAGCTATTTTGCGCATTTCTTGGTACATGCGTTCTATGTAATTTCTGGTAGTTAGAACGGTCAAAGCCGAAGAACAAAACATAACAAGTGAAAGAAAGATAAAACCCGTTGCTACAATTTCTTCGCCAATACTAAAACCAACATAGTGACTGATTTGTTTATAGTGGATACAAACATTGACGATGACTGTAATTATCATAATACCTAAAGCAGCTAGATTTAGTAGCATCTCATTATCGTCCATGGATCCCAAAGATGTCATAAAATTTGCCATCGCAGTTGACATGAAAACGAGGCTACTAACCCGTGCAAGGATTTCATGCATCCCAGACGTATCAGATGTAAGATCCACTGGTAGTTTCAATGCGACAGCTAATAGTGTCAAAGACATGGCATTGAAAGAGAAGTACTTACATGGGAACCACAGCATTTTACTACGAAAACCATGGAATGCATCAGCTGCCATTGCAAGGGAGCAGACTACAGAAGCTGCTGCAATATACATGCCAATCCATGGCATTGGGGACTCCAATTTGGCTTGTAAGTCTATCTGCGATAGACTCGTTTCGCAACCTTGATATGAATCCATGAACTTGTCTCCGAATTTCTTTTCTATTTCTCTCCCCAAATAAATTGGTATCTTTGTGTTATTTACTTTTGAATTAAAACGTACTAATCAATCTGTCATTCACGAAAAAAAAAATGTTGACTCATAAGAGCTTCTCCCATCAATAATAAGTCTTGTTGACTCACTCCATCAATAGATTTTCTGCTTCTGAATCTGGACGAGTTTTAATGTTATTTGAAAATAAAAAAGTTGGGACCTGTTTCCACATATTCAATAGGTTAGAGACATTTACTTCAATTTTCCCTTCAATGTTATGACAAGTTGACTTGGTACAGGTCTCGAGTGTTGAAATTTTCCTCTCTAGTTTTCCACCATGCTCTTTAATGGACTAATTTTTCCATTCCTCATTACTTATCCACACTCAAGCCAACGCTACCAAAACCATGTATCATTTTGAAAAAAGGTACTTTTAATAGTTATAATATTTAATTTTAGAAAAAAATTATAACATTACTTGTAACCACTTTTTACTTGTCGTAACAAAAATTTTAAATTTATCTTTAATATAAAAATTTTGAATATTTTGATCAAAAGTTTTTGTTAAGCTTTCTTGAAGTCTTTCAATTTTGTTTTAAATCTGTTTCTTGTGGTTCTCAAAAAGTTCTGAACAGTCGAGACCTGAAAGAGCAGTCCAAGTCTTCAAACAGTTTGGGAAATGATAATTTCATTATTGGTAACTAAGCTTTCACAGAGATCTCAATCAAACCACTCAACTTTAATTTGTCTAAATCAGATCACTGAACTTAATTTACTTGAAATTTTGGTCACTCCATTAGTCGTACAAGATTTTACATTCAAATCCAACGTGAATGTTAATTTTGACGTGTCTTACTACAAGATAAATATGTCACTTAATTCTAGTCATGGCTGTAAAATTGAAAATAAATCGTCGTTTTTAAAATCATATTCAAGTGACATATACATTAAAATTTCGCAACCATGACTTGATTAGGTAGTGTATTTCTTGCAAATGAAAGATACCATCACATTGACCTCAATTAAGATTTTAAAAATAAAATTAACCCACTTAAGATGACCAAGAAAGAAACAATAAGGGCCGGTTTGATTCATCCTATTTTCCATGATACTCCAATTTCCAAATTATTTTTTTTGTTTGATGGCAAAAATTTTCTTGGCAAAACCTTTTCCACCCAATCCCCCCACGTGACCCTTTTTCCATGTATTAAGTGAATTGGTTTTCCCACCAAAGTGGTGGGAAAGTGTTTTCCAGGTTTTTTTTTTTTTCAATGAAACAAATTCTATACACAATTGTTAAAAAAAAAAAAATTCCCGTTAATGAACAATTTTCATGAAAAATAAAGTCAAACGAATACTAAAAGATCCAAAATTTCAACATTTGAAAGGTAAAAAATTATATCATTCAAGCACAATTAATTGACAATTCCCAGAAAAATAATTTTACCCTACTTTTTAACCAAAAATTCTCCAAAAATTCACTATTCAAAACAATGTTTTCAAAAAAAAAAAAATGGCCACCAACCATGGGTTAATTGTAACCACTTTTTAAGTTTCGTAACCTAATCTTTAAAAACAATTTTTAATATAAAAATTTTAAATATCTTGATCAAACCTTAAAAGTTTTTGTTAAGCTTTCATGAAGTCTCTCAATTTTGTTCTAAGAACGTTTCTCACGGTTCTCAAAAAAATAATGTTATTTAGTACACTAGTGCTACAACATCAATTTAGCTAGCGTTATGCGATAGACTCAATTAAAATTTAGAATTATAAAACTCATTTTAATTGTACATCTCATTTAATGACAATATGTCACTTAGCACCTCACTTAATGCCACTTAGTACCATGAAAACTTGATAAATGTATTTTATACACTTATTCGGGGTCTAAATTAACGATATTTGATAATTCTTTTGACAAAATATATTTTAAATTATTTTATTTTATATTATATAGATAAAACTTAATAGTTGGACGAGATATTGAAAGAAAGAAGCGAAACTTGGTGAAAATGGGCAAAATCCTAAGTTTGGGGGATCAAATTGCAAATATTCAGTAGTTGATTTGGACCAAAAGATGAGTTGGAAGATTTTTAGGAGACAATTGGATGTAATTTGAATTCAAAAATGAATGGAATATGATCAAAATATTATGACAATCAATGTCCAATCGCACAAGTTAT